TATATTTGTCAGCTTCCAAAACACTCCCAAGTCACATAGCCAAACAAAATTTACAAAGAATTCTCCTTTTTTAATCTTGATTATAGTGACATGTGTGACTTGGCTCGTGTTAAAAATATTTTGGAGACTGATTGGTAAGTGGACCAAACATTCAAAAACTTCCATGCTATGGTGTAAAATCAGTTACATACTTATCAAAATTCTTCCTACGGGCAATGGTAAGGAATATATATCCTCGATGAGTACTTATTTTGTAATGGTATAATTCGTCAAAGTTCCTATCCTACACTCCCTAACAAGATGGGGTAGCCAAGAGAAAGAATAGGCATATTCTTGAAGTTGCTAACACACTCGTGTTCACCATGAATCTCCTTAAACACGTGTAGAGGGAAGTTGTACTCACTACATCAATCGCATGCCATCTCGTGTCCTTGAATTTTAGTCTCCAATATCTTGCTTCCTAAACACCTTCCTTTCCCTTCGATCTATCTCCTTTCTTCCTCCAAAAATGCTTCGTTGTGTCGTATTTGTTTGTATTCCAACATTTAAATAGTCCAAACTAGATCGAAAATCTCACAAGTGTGTCTTCATTAAATACTCTCCTACCCAAAAGGGATACAAGTGTTATTCTTCATCCTTACGTAAGGTCTTTATCTCTCTTTATGTCACTTTCTTTGAATCTCGGTCTTTCTTTCCCCCAACGGATCTTCATGTGGAGCCTATAGATGAAAATCAAACATGTGAACCCACAGTGTCATCCCAAGTATATTCATTTTTCCTTCTTCTTCCACTAAAAGATTCACCACATCCTCAATGAAAAATAATAAATTGTGTTTAGGGTCACCAAGGAACCTAGAGTGAATTATTTAGCAACGGTGCTTAAAAGACGTAAAACAGAAAAACGGCACTTGAATTACCCTCTTGGCAACCTAAGGATGTTTAATAAAATGAGAAAGAAAATTTAGAAAAATAAATTTGAATTTTTGCCTTGTTTGGCCGAACCTTCAAGAGGAAGTGGAGGATTTTGTGGTTTTCGCGTTTTGATGGAAATTGACGCATACTGATGGCTGTACATGGTTGTATAGGTTGCCGTACGTCGATCTGAATCCCTAACTGTGAATCGGTTGATTGCCCTTGGTCCTGGACCAAGTGGATTGAGGTAAGTGATTGGATTATGCATGTGTAATTGAGGATTGGCATGCGTTTTGTGAACTTTGAGTAATTGGGAGCGTCCTATGTGTAGGCTTTCTGTTGAGTAACAAACTTGGAACCTAAGCTGCTGTGGAGCTAAGTGGAAGAACATTTGAGGTAACCTCTTGGTACTGGGGCTTGTTCCCCTTTTCTGTTCCACCATACCCGTTGAGGGTAATGGTAGAAAGTGTATATGAGTAGTGTAGAACAGCATGAGCATGCATGTAGCATTTATGAGGGTACTTATGTATCGAGTCTCTGGCCAGTAGACAGTGTAGCCTTCGGGCAGTGCGGACTTCCACTGGATAGGTCTCCGAGAGGGAGTTCCAGTTGACCTAGGGTCGTGGTGTGTCATCCGGGTAGGAGCACACTAGGAAGTCTCGGGTGTATATGGATGGAAGGGGTACCTTGGTTGTGGTTCTTGGAACACGCCTTGGATTAGACCCGTAGGCTTATATGCCGAGGACGTTGCCTGGTATTGGTAGCTACCATTCCAGCTCGTCGTATTTTATATCCCGATATTCCCCAGTTTCTCTAAATCCCTTGCTATATCCCGTTTTGAAAGTGGTTTTTTTTATATTACTTATATGCATCGAAGTGAGCCATTGGGCGGAGTTTTCTCCGGAACCTCTGGGTTACTGAGATATATCTGTATATCTCACCCCGTCTTGGGGAATTTATTTCAGGAGCTAGTAGTGGCGTTGGAGTGGTGGGCAAGAAGCCCGTAGGATGACTACTGGGAGCATCTTTATCATTTTTCATTTTGTTGGCCTTGTGGCCTAGGCTAGACTTAGGGCATGAACATCCCATATGTATGTAGGATGAGTTTCATGTCATATTTGTTCATGTCGTTTTGCCTAAGTCTAGTTGTTTATGTCATTTGAGTTTTATGTTTCAAGTTGTAAATTAAAGCATGAAATTGTAAGTTGTAATTTAAAGTTTAAAGTTGTAAGTTGTAATTTGTAAATGTACAAGAGATGCATGATATACTATGATGGAAGGGCTTTAGGCCTATTTTAGGTTTATCATTAATTGTATGTGGAAATTGCATGAAAATGGACTTGATGATTGAAACAAGTTAAGAATTATAAAGTGAGTTATACTGTGTAATAAATATAAACTGAGTTGGGTTGTAAGTGCCCCAAGGCATTGTCGGTCCTTGTGTGTGCCACCCATTGGATTATTAGGTACATTGAGGTACTAGAGAGCTTAGGCAAATTTGGGGATTTTAAGAAAAACAAAGGAAACTCTGGCGAATTTTCGGTAGAATTGGCAGATTTTAGGCGAACTTCGGGAGAGCATATCTCTCTCCACAGAGGTCCGATAGGGACGTGCCATACGCCATTTTAAAGCTTGAGGTGTCCCCTACATGGCTTTTAAATATGAGAAAATTCTGGGTTTACACAGCCCTGTAGGAGTCGTTGAACACAGACTGTCCAGAACCCCCTTATGCAGGGGCTGTTTCTGGCAGTTTTTGGGAAATTAATTCCCGCTTCGTTTCTCAGTAAAATTAAGCTATGATATATCAAATTAAAGGTTGAGATGTCTAGTTTGTAGCGTACAAATTTGAGAACAATTGGATGAGTGGATTTGCTTCAGAAATTCGTGGAGTGAGAGAGGTTTTGAGTTGTTTTGGGTTGGTTGGCGGTTTTGCTTATCCAACTTCAAACGGCGATAACCGGAGCAAACGAGCTCCGATTAAAGCGTGTGATAGCTTTTTAGAAAGGGAATTAAGTAAGAAAAATATAACCTGAGAGGAAAGTCTGGTTTTAAGCGGTGTGTTCGCAGAAAAATAATTAGTGAACCATGTTCGGAAAGGTAAAAACGTAAAGTTGAGAAATTGGCTAAGTGGGTTTATGGGAACCCCTTAGTAACTTATAATAAGTAAAGTAAGACATAAAAATAGTTTAAATAAGTATTCCGCAAGAGTTTACAGTTACGGTCACAGCTTTTTATTATTACGCTTTTTATAGTTTTAAATGCTCGTGTAATAATCGGAAAAGGTTTATTCGCATTTTTATAAATGAATTGTTGTGATTGTAACTGCGCTTAATATCATAATTAATGTTAACAATACCGGTGTACAACGGGCTGTTACAAACGTGGCCTCTTTTTTGTTATTTCAGGGACCAATTTGTCCCTTTTTTATTGCTAGGGACTGAAAAGGGCTTCGTGGATATTGCCAGGGACTAAAAAGGGTACTTACTCAAAAAAAAAAAAAAGATATGCAATCAAATGTAAAAGCTATTACATATGAGGTGATATGTGTGGGGATCTAGTATTATTCTCTTTTAAATAAATCATTTATAAAAGAGAAACAACACTTAAAAAAAATAGAATGTATTGGATTTGTTTTGAGTCCATGCTAGTAAAGTATTATCACATTACCAATGAAGTATCTATCCACAATTAATGTAGGGCTTAACACCTCTCATAGGAGAAAGGTTGACAATTTCAAGCAGAAAGAAAATTTTGTAGAGCCCACAAAATTTTGAAAATTAAAACATGGAATTCGAGTTGAGACAATAGGAGAAGTGTATTTCTCATTAATGTAATGCAAGTTGAAGTAAACAGTAAAAAGTAGAATCAAGAACAACACTAACACAATTGTCACACAAAACTTTTATCTGAATTCCCCTCGAATCTTTTATTATGTTAACAAATTCACATACATCCTCAAATAGATGGAAATTCAGAAAAAAAAAAAAATAAGGAGGAAAGTCACCTAAAAATGTCTAAAAGTGAGAATCCTTACTACAATTCCTTAAACCTCCAAATCACAAAGTGTTAGAATATTCTAGTGTAATAAAGTCTCATATTGGTCGGTAACAGGCTAAGCGAAGTATATATAAGTGAAGGGGCCCATTTGATATGGTTGGACTAACTTAGCTTAAGCGAAGTATATATAAGTGAAGGGGCCCATTTGATATGGTTGGACTAACTTAGCTTATTGGTGGTGATCCCCTGCCACGGGCTCTCCCTTGGACCTGCCTGACAATTGGTATCATAGCTGGGTTGGGCTCGAGTTAGCCAGATGATTGACTATAGGCGAAATTGAGTACTTTGGACCTGGATATGGTACTTAGTTGAGGGGAAGCATACCAATGTTGAGTTTCACACTTAAGAAGGAGATTGTTGAAATATTCAAATGCAATGAGTCTCATATTAGTTGGTAATAGGCTAATGAAGTGGATATAAGTGGATGGACCCATGAATTTAATAAGATTGGTATAACCTTAGTCCATTAATAATAGTCCTTTACCATGAACTCCCCTGACACAAAGTAACTCTTAGATGTTGAGTAATATATATGAAGAACACTCACCTAAAATTTAAGATTATTCCGATAAGATCTCACCCTTGGATTGGTAAGAGAATATCAAAGATACAATATATTTTATCTCTTCTCACTATTTCTCTCTCCTCGGTTTCTTTCTCTCTCACACACACAATGTAAGACCTTCACTTGATGTGGTTTTTCTCTCTTGCAAAATTGCACCTTTGTCTCTCCCGCAAGGTGTTGCTCTCCTCTTTCTCTCATTGGGTTCTGTATTGTTTTTTTCAAAGGGGTAGGGTGCAACATTACAGGTGGGCAATGGGCCCATGAAATGAAAAATAGGGTCCAGACCCAATAGAACTATCTTTAAACGTTCATATTATTCATATAACAATGCCAAAATATAAGTTCTTAGCAGTGACAGATGAAGTCTTTTTGAAAAAAAGAAATTGGACAAAATGAAAGAGAAAAGAAAATCATAAATAGAGTTATCTATGTTGAATGAACATTATATATCCTATCCTAATATTCCCTAATCCTCATTGAGATAATCTACCTTGATACACTGGTGTGGATAATACCAACCAATTGAGGATAATTCAGAAGTAATTGAATCTTCCACAAATGGGAACTTGCTAATCAGTTGAGCCTCCATTGAGTATATGCAGCACATGTTGGATAGAGTGTCAAGACAATACACGCAGTTGCTTTGACCTCCCCACCTACCTGGTTTCCTCATTGCAGAACCCCATGCTCTCCCAAAGAAGAAAGCTTGATCACCCAACTCATCCACCTTAACCCACTTCATGGCTTCAAAGTCCATCTTGTAAATATTCAAATGTTCCTTAGGAACAAAATCAACCATTAAAAGTTGATCATTTGAAACAACCAACTTAAGATAAAAGTAATTCACATTAGGGGTATTTCTCACTCTGAGCCAATTAAACACTACACTTGTGGAGTCTGTTGTTTTTATCCTCAATTCCCCTAATTCAGCATTTTTTGTAACAACATAAACATGACCCTTAAAAATTGCTATGTCCACCCATTCTTGCCTGAGAAATAGCCAAGTAAACCAACGACTATTCTTAAAATGAAAGACCTGCAACTCACGCATAGTATTGGAGATGGCTAGGATGACATAACTTTTAGGGGACGAAGTTGATGCCACAATGATTTTGTCATGAAGAGATTTGCCTATAAGGCTAAAATGTGGTGCATGACATTTCAGTTGATGTCCAGTGAAAGGATTTATAAGCAAAATTTCACGATATATGTCTTCTAAGATCAAGAATCCTGCTGAACACCCAACAAAGAATTTGCTAACTATGTTAGGCAACATAACCTTTTTTGTCTTGCCATTAGCAATGTCATGCAAATAGCATTCTCATTTGTCTTGTGATGATGATATAAGAACTACCATTGGTGCTTGGGATTCCAAGAAATCTTCCCTTGATCTATCATAGATTTCCAACCAGCTCTTACAAACAGCACCAAATCCACAAAAGCCTGCCACATCTTGACGTTTAGCAATTAGCTCCAATAGGTCGGTTGTAAGTTCTGGTAACTCTTTTTGATTATCATTGTTTTCGTTGAGTTTCCTTCTCCTATTCCGGGCTTTTGAGGGTTTTGGTTCTGTACCTGGATAAATAAACGAACAATGATCATATTCATCCATATGGCGAACCCAGAAAAAAGAAGAAGTTATGTCTGTACAATTAGGGTGAGGGTGCTGCCCCCAAGATTTTTTTTTAAAGAAAATTTTAAATGTATTAAAAAAATATAAACAAGAAAAGAAAAGATTTTACGATTTTTTTTAATAAAAATGATTTCATCAAAATTCCAAAAAAATTTACGATTTTTTATGATTTCTTTTACGTTAGGATTTTACGATTTTTTATCCTCCTTCCGGTTTTAGGTAAGATCTTGATTTTAACTATCATGGTTGGACCTATGTTACTTTTTTTCTTTTCAATCTTCCTAAATCTTTTTTTTTACTTGACCTAAATCACCCACCCCTTTTAAAAAAAAATTCTCAAACTTTTAATAAAAATGATTTCATCAAAATTCCAAACTGTACCTGGATAAATAAACGAACAATGATCATATTCATCCATATGGCGAACCCAGAAAAAAGAAGAAGTTATGTCTGTACAAGTAGGGTGAGGGTGCTGCCCCCAAGATTTTTTTTAAAGAAAATTTTAAATGTATTAAAAAAATATAAACAAGAAAAGAAAAGATTTTACGATTTTTTTTAATAAAAATGATTTCATCAAAATTCCAAAAAATTTTACGATTTTACGATTTTTTATGATTTCTTTTACGTTAGTATTTTACAATTTTTTATCCTCCTTCCGGTTTTAGGTAAGATCTTGATTTTAACTATCATGGTTGGACCTATGTTACTTTTTTTCTTTTCAATCTTCCTAAATCTTTTTTTTTACTTGACCTAAATCACCCACCCCTTTTAAAAAAAAATTCTCAAACTTTTAATAAAAATGATTTCATCAAAATTCCAAACTGTACCTGGATAAATAAACGAACAATGATCATATTCATCCATATGGCGAACCCAGAAAAAAGAAGAAGTTATGTCTGTACAAGTAGGGTGAGGGTGCTGCCCCCAAGATTTTTTTTAAAGAAAATTTTAAATGTATTAAAAAAATATAAACAAGAAAAGAAAAGATTTTACAATTTTTTTTAATATAAATGATTTCTTCAAAATTCCAAAAGTTTTTACGATTTTACGATTTTTTATGATTTCTTTTACGTTAGTATTTTCCAATTTTTTATCCTCCTTCCGGTTTTAGGTAAGATCTTGATTTTAACTATCATGGTTGGACCTATGTTACTTTTTTTCTTTTCAATCTTCCTAAATCTTTTTTTTTTTACTTGACCTAAATCACCACCCGTTTTAAAAAAATATTCTCAAACTTTTAATAAAAATGATTTCATCAAAATTCCAAACTGTACCTGGATAAATAAACGAACAATGATCATATTCATCCATATGGCGAACCCAGAAAAAAGAAGAAGTTATGTCTGTACAAGTAGGGTGAGGGTGTTGTACGTGGATACAAAAATGAACAATGATCATATTCATCCATATATATATATATATATATATATATATATATATATATATATATGGATAAGATCAACTTACACCGGTGTAAGAATAATAAATCTTACACCAAATCTTAACCATTGATTTTTTACATCTGATGGTTAAGATTTATTAGGTCTCACTCTTTAATTCATTTTTTAATTCCCAATAAATCTCAACCGTTAAATGCATGTGAATCAATGATTAAGATTTTATGTAAAATTTATTATTCTTACACTGGTGCAAGATGATCATGCCCCATATATATATATATATATATATATGAAGTAGGATCCTTTGACACCAGTGTCAAATTTGAAATTTGACACCTCATCTGAGAGCCGTTAGATCAAAAAATATCAACGGCTCTGATTTGTAAGCATGTGACACCATTGATATTTTTTTATCTAACGGCTCTCAGATGAGGTGTCAAATTTCAAATTTGACACCGGTGTCAAAGGATCCTACCTCTATATATATATATATATATATTTCACTACTTCTCACAGACTCAAGACTCATCAACAAGCAGCTATACATATCTGGCAAAATTAAGATTTTTATTTTTAATATTTATTTATATAATTTATATTTTGTTATTTCTTTCCTTTTCTAGAGTAAAAGTTTTGGAATATCTATTTTCAATAACAAAGATTTGGTAATGCAAAACTTCACATTATTGCAGAGATTGAAGTTGCTAACACACTCGTGTGCACCATGAATCTCCTTAAACACGTGTAGAGGGAAGTTGTACTCACTACATCAATCGCATGCCATCTCGTGTCCTTGAATTTTAGTCTCCAATATCTTGCTTCCTAAACACCTTCCTTTCCCTTCGATCTATCTCCTTTCTTCCTCCAAAAATGCTTCGTTGTGTCGTATTTGTTTGTATTCCAACATTTAAATAGTCCAAACCAGATCGAAAATCTCACAAGTGTGTCTTCATTAAATACTCTCTTACCCAAAAGGGATACAAGTGTTATTCTTCATCCTTACGTAAGGTCTTTATCTCTCTTTATGTCACTTTCTTTGAATCTCGGTCTTTCTTTCCCCCAACGGATCTTCATGTGGAGCCTATAGATGAAAATCAAACATGTGAACCCACAGTGTCATCCCAAGTATATTCATTTTTCCTTCTTCTTCCACTAAAAGATTCACCACATCCTCAATGAAAAATAATAAATTGTGTTTAGGGTCACCAAGGAACCTAGAGTGAATTATTTAGCAAAACGGTGCTTAAAAGACGTAAAACAGAAAAACGGCACTTGAATTACCCTCTTGGCAACCTAAGGATGTTTAATAAAATGAGAAAGAAAATTTAGGAAAATAAATTTGAATTTTTGCCTTGTTTGGCCGAACCTTCAAGAGGAAGTGGAGGATTTTGTGGTTTTCGCGTTTTGATGGAAATTGACGCATACTGATGGATGTACATGGTTGTATAGGTTGCCGTACGTCGATCTGAATCCCTAACTGTGAATCGGTTGATTGCCCTTGGTCCTGGACCAAGTGGATTGAGGTAAGTGATTGGATTATGCATGTGTAATTGAGGATTGGCATGCGTTTTGTGAACTTTGAGTAATTGGGAGCGTCCTATGTGTAGGCTTTCTGTTGAGTAACAAACTTGGAACCTAAGCTGCTGTGGAGCTAAGTGGAAGAACATTTAAGGTAAACTCTTGGTACTGGGGCTTGTTTCCCTTTTCTGTTCCACCATACCCGTTGAGGGTAATGGTAGGAAGTGTATATGAGTAGTGTAGAACAGCATGAGCATGCATGTAGCATTTATGAGTGTACTTATGTACCGAGTCTCTGGCCAGTAGACAGTGTAGCCTTCGAGCAGTGCGGACTTCCACTGGATAGGTCTCCGAGAGGGATTTCCAGTTGACCTAGGGTCGTGGTGTGTCATCCGGGTAGGAGCACACTAGGAAGTCTCGGGTGTATAGGATGGAAGGGGTACCTTGGTTGTGGTTCTTGGAACACGCCTTGGATTAGACCCGTAGGCTTATATGCCGAGGACGTTGCGTGGTATTGGTAGCTACCATTCCAGCTCGTCGTATTTTATATCCCGATATTCCCCGGTTTCTCTAAATCCCTTGCTATATCCCGTTTTGAAAGTGGTTTTTTTTATATTACTTATATGCATCGAAGTGAGCCATTGGGTAGAGTTTTCTCCGGAACCTCTGGGTTACTGAGATATATCTGTATATCTCACCCCGTCTTGGGGAATTTATTTCAGGAGCTAGTAGTGGCGTTGGAGTGGTGGGCAAGAAGCCCGTAGGATGACTACTGGGAGCATCTTTATCATTTTTCATTTTGTTGGCCTTGTGGCCTAGGCTAGACTTAGGGCATGAACATCCCATATGTATGTAGGATGAGTTTCATGTCATATTTGTTCATGTCGTTTTGCCTATGTCTAGTTGTTTATGTCATTTGAGTTTTATGTTTCAAGTTGTAAATTAAAGCATGAAATTGTAAGTTGTAATTTAAAGTTTAAAGTTGTAAGTTGTAATTTGTAAATGTACAAGAGATGCATGATATACTATGATGGAAGGGCTTTAGGCCTATTTTATGTTTATCATTAATTGTATGTGGAAATTGCATGAAAATGGACTTGATGATTGAAACAAGTTAAGAATTATAAAGTGAGTTATACTGTGTAATAAATATAAACTGAGTTGGGTTGTAAGTGCCCCAAGGCATTGTCGGTCCTTGTGTGTGCCACCCATTGGATTATTAGGTACATTGAGGTACTAGAGAGCTTAGGCAAATTTGGGGATTTTAAGAAAAACAAAGGAAACTCTGGCGAATTTTCGGTAGAATTGGCAGATTTTAGGCGAACTTCGAGAGAGCATATCTCTCTCCACAGAGGTCCGATAGGGACGTGCCATACGCCCTTTTAAATTTTGAGGTGTCCCCTACATGGCTTTAAATATGAGAAAATTCTGGGAGTCGTTGAACACAGACTGTCCAGAACCCCCTTATGCAGGGCCTGTTTCTGGCAGTTTTTGGGAAAT